TTAGCCAGCACTACTGCCTCCCTCCTACCTTGCTGGGGAGAACAGTCTTGTCCTGCTCCTTAGGAGAAGGGCACCCACCACAGCTTGCTTACATTCATATCAAATTAAAAAAAATTCTTTGTTTAATTTTCTCAATAAGAATTCAAGTTCTAAGTGTGAACCTTTTGCTACATTTGGAAGGATGTGGGGACATGACAATGAAAAATAGACACAGAGCTCCTGTTCTTATAATGTTGTGACCTGGGAGATACTGTGCACATTCGACTCTCCTAATCTCCCTGCCATCTCTTGTTTAATCAGAGTTTGGTTCTAGGCCAGTAACTCTGTGTGGCCTAATTTAAACCAATTTTAATCCCTTATTAAGCTTTAAGCATCTGGTTGTACTTTTTTTTAAATGCTTTTAAATTAGTGGATCTCTTTCTTAGATGGAATTAAAACTGGATCATGCTTAGAAGTTTTTATCATTTGCAAAGTCACAATTACCAGTGGAATGGACTGTAAGCAGTGGGACCTCTGATTAAAAAAATAAAACATTGGTAATAGGACACAATTGACAGAGAGGAATAACTGTAGTTGAACTTGTTGCCCAAGATTATCTCTGCTTCTGATTATTTCTATACTTAAAAAAGAAATAGTATGTTTTAATTGTAATTACTTTTGATAATTATTTTATCCTAGAAGGTAAATTATTAATTAGGGTGTGTATTATAAATTACTTTTTTATTAAGTGATTTCTGACAATAGTTTCTAGTTTTTTTTTTTTTAATTAAAGAATAGGTCTTGGATTTAATATTAATGGCTTTGGGCTCTGCTAAGGAGGGAACCTAATCTAACTTCTGCCTTATGACTTGACATGTAACTGGAAACAATGCACCTGCCTAGCTGAGATAACTGGTGAATTATATGTGCTGATATGCATACTTCTGGCTGAGGAGCCATTTCTAAGTGCAAGTTTCATTTTCATGATTTTTTTTTTCCACTGTTGGTTTAAAGTCAGTATCCATGACTATTGCACATGTGACAAGAAATAACCCAGCCAAGGTGGCCTGGGGATATTGCTCAAAGACAGTGTTTGCTTGACATGCCTTCAGCTCTGGGTTTGATCCAGTACCACGAGTATACACATACAAGACAACGAAACAACTAGTTTAAGACTAAAAGGACTTGGAAGAAGACAAGAAAACTCAACTCCAGGTGATGCCAATAAATTTGGATCACTAAAACTTTTCCTGTGTGGGTATAAGTTAGGATATCCTGGTTAAAACTTACTATTGATTTCTTTAAACTTCATAAGTATAAGCTAAAAAAAAAGTAAGAAAAACCTAGCCAGCAATAAAAATTATGAAAGCACAACTGTGTAAAAGTGGAAATGAATTTAATCTCCAGTTTGTCTTTCAAATGGCTGTCTTTGTTGGGAATCCCCTTTGAATGGAATATCTTTGGGAAGTGGATATAGTTCATCTACACCGTAGTGAGGATAGGGCAGCAGTTCTCACTCGAATGCTTTCCTTTTTCCGTAGGGAAACCCACGGTTCCCTTTCAAAGTAGACACAGCAAGGCCCTATGCCCATGCATTATTCTACACTGTTTAAACTGAGAAGCAAAAACAATAGCTGCCATCAGTTCAACTTAGATTTGTGACCTGAAGTCTCTGTCGTGTACTTTGAAAAAAAAAATTGCTGTTTAAGGGATCTTTGGATTTCAGAATTGAAATCATGCACCTGGACTAGTGATACTTGCCCTTTGCCCTCAAATTGATATGAAATCTAAGGTATCATTTATTCCTAGAAAGTTATTCTAAAACTTCAGGTCTCAAAAAATTGAATGACTCCTGGGGAGAGAGTCCTGGTTTGGGTGCTGAGAAGCCCTTTTCTATTTAGTGATCAAGTGGGATCTTCTGTCTCAAGGTTAGCTTCTGACCCTCCATCCAGAAAGGAAGACTGCTAGTTTATGCTTCACACATAGTCCTGTCTTAGTGCTCTGCCACACCAGAGCTCCTTCAGCAAGTAGGTGGGCTTCTATAGCAACAAGAAAACCTTTTCCCTAAATGTCACGGCATAGCCAAGAGACAGGAAGAAACACTGGCAAAGAGATATGGAAAATAGAAGAGAAGCAAACAAATCTAAACTCCAAAGAAACAAAGATCATTAAGAAACAGAAGAAAAGAAAACAAAAACCCTCAGAGAAAGTCAAGAAACTATTACATAAAACAGATCAACTAAGAAGTACCAGCTCTTGAGAAATAAATAAATTACTGCCAATACAAAGATAACTTAAAAGCCTGTCACCACAAAATCCATTAAGTTATATAAAATGTGTTAATAAAAAGGAAGATATGTTAATGCAAGAGCTGGAAAAGTAAATAGAGAAACTCAAAGAATGTAAAACTGTAGTAAGAGAAAATAGAAATATATGAAAATACAGGAGATAAGAGAACCGAGATGAGAACCAACTTGTGAAAAGAAGGGCAGAAGAAGAGGAGGAACAAGAAAGCAGGGCAATTGGCTGGCTCGATATACCCAATGCTCCAGGACTGATACCTGAGCTCTGGGGTACAGAGGCTGGTACTGCCTCCAGGGAGCCCTACTGTGTTAGAGCTGGAAGGAGTTAGGAGAATTGTTCTGGATTCTATGTGTTGAGTGACTTGATTTATTAGATGGGCAGTTTTCTCTGCATCTCTCTGATATGGTGGTGGTGATGGGGCTCAGAGAGAGTGTACCAAGTGTTTTCCAGAAAGAGCTTTGAGTATTACCATTAACTTAGTAGTGTAGTGGGAAAAGCAGGTTATAGTGTGTGTGTGTGTGTGTGTGTGTGTGTGTGTGTGTGTGTGTGTGTGTGTGTGTGATAGTATATAAACTGGTGTATACATGCAATGGTTTAAAACATAATCTGGGCCTGGTGGTGGTGGTGGTGGTGGTGGTGGTGGTGGTGCACACCTTTAATCCCAGCACTTGGGAGACAGAGGCAGGCGGATCTTTGTGAGTTCGAGGCCAGCCTGGTCTACAGAGCGAGATCCAAGAAAGGCACAAAGCTACACAGAGAAAACCTGTCTTGAAAAACCAAAACCAAACCAATACAAAACAAATCAAAACATAATCTGAATGGGTATAGCTTGTCTTTGGTTGGGGTGATGAGTGGTTTCTTTTCTTTCTTTTTTTTTTTTTAAATAATTTTCTGTATTTTAAGGAATAAGTTTATATTGTTTTTTGTTTGTTTGTTTGTTTTGAGACAGGGTTTCTCTGTGTAACAGCCCGGGTGCCCTGGAACTCACTCTGTAAACCAGGCTGGCCTTGAACTCACAGAGATCTACTTGTCTCTGCCTCTCAAGTGCCGGGATTAAAGGCGTGCACCACTACCACCCAGCTATATTACTTTTATACTTAAAAATAATAAAGCCCTTCCTATATGGAGGATCTGAATTTACAATAAAATATTCCTGGGAGGAATGGATCCTGCCTGCCTAGGAGACTAACTTGTGCAGGTAGGAGAAGCTGAAGGAGATGAACCCTCCAGGGCAATGAGAAAGGCCTGCCAGGTACAAATGAAAGATGAGGATGTTGTAAAATCCTAAAGATAGATCTGATAGGTAAATAAATAGATAATAAATAAATAAATAAATAAATAAATAAATAAATAAATAAGATAGAGCTTTGCTTTTTGGTTCATGCACCACCAGCACTTCCAAATTTCCTGAGATTAGTCATCTCCTACACTGAACGCCGATATTACACTGTCCAATGTTATCTGCCAGAGTACAGCAAAGTTAGAATCAGAACCTGCAAAGACTCCAAGCCTACTCAGAAGTGAGCGTGAAGGAGTTCAAAGATGGAGGTATCACCCAAGGCACATCTGCAGGTGCTTTTAAACAAACACTGCCGATTTCACTACAGTCTCAACCTCCTTGAAGAATTCGGTGGCTTTTGTCCTCACTGTTGTCACAAAGGCACACTTTCTCTGAGTTGATCTGTGTAGATGGCTATCTTAAGCACTTCACAAGACAGTTAAATAAAATAGAATTGGTTCCCTTCCTCCCACCCACAGCATGTAGATTATTAAAGATGACAATTTGAAAACTGACTTTATTTAAGCAGAAGTTATAAAACCTAGCTCTTTGCAATGAAACCTGAATGTCTGTGTGATGGTTCAACTAGTTAAGAGCATTCTTAGTGGAATTCACTGGTCTTGACCTGGAAAGAGAGAATACTCTTTATCTTCCTGATAGTACAAGATTTAAGTGTATCCAGTATCATGTGTGTTCCTGTTACTTAGACAATACCTCCAATAGCAGCAAGAGAGAATTCTAGTTTTACCCACCCATGGTAAATTCTTTTCCTTACAAAACAGATATTATGTTTGTAAAATTAAAAATGAGTAATTCACACTCTGAAAGTTACTTTTCCCTACAAAAATGCTATTGTGGATTTTTTTTTTTTATTTGAAGGCAGAGTGTAACAAAAGCAGGGGGAAGGTGGGGAAGACAGAAAAGCCGATTTAATAGATAATGTATTGCATTTAAAGAGCTTGAATGCTGTTACTTTTCATCACTTAACTTTTCAAAGAACACTTTCAGCTTCCTTATTTGCATGTTTCATTGTTTTCAAGCCTTTACACTGTATGCTTAAAATGCAAATGGAATAATATAAGAATAATGAGAAGTAATACTTGGAAATGTTCTGAAAAAAATGTTGCAAAAAGAGCCCTGGTTTCCATCTGATTGAAAGGAGGTGAGACTTGGGAAAGTCAGACTGGGTGTAATTTTATCTTAAGCTCTGACTAGAAGCTTCATTTCCATCCTTCTCTCTCCTTTGTAGTGGTGAAAATTATTGAAGGTTTCTTTTTTCATGACTCCTATCCTGGTTGGGTTGTGTCTACTCGGCATAAGCTAGACTTATCCAGGAAGAGGAATCTCTACGGAGAAAATGCTTCATCAGGTTGGCCTGCGGGCAAGACTGTGGAGGCAATTTTTTGACTGATGATTGATGTGGAAGGGCCTAGCTCACCTTGGGCAGTGCCGTCTCTGGAAAGGTGGTCCTGGGTTGTGTATGAAAGCGACTGAGCAAGCCAGGAACCAGCATTCCTCCGCGGCCTCTGCTTCGGTTCCTGCCCTCCCTCTTCTGTTCTTGCCTTGGCTTCTCACCCGACTTCCCTCATGGACTACAACTGCAAGCTGAAATAAGCCCTTTCTTGTCCCCATTGTTTTTGGGCATGATGCTTATCACTGCAAGAGAACGTAAACTAAGATACTACTTTGTCCATACTCTCCCCTCCCCAACATTAGTTGTCTTTCGATCAATTAACTCAGCTTAACAGTTTCTAAGAATATCTAGAATGTAGAATAAATTGCTCACTGTTAGCAGAAGTAGGTTTGGCTTAAAGACAACTGTGTAGAAACACCAGCCAAGCTTTGACTTCAGTTCCTCTGATACCTGGGCTTTCCATTGGATAGACTAGGAAATCAGACCCCCTGGGGACAATCCCAGTTCTGCTGTTCCTCAAATGTTCTACTGACTCACCTTCCTGGGTTCAGTTTCCCCATCTGTAAAATGTATACTAGCAACATCTTTCATGCCAGTGGCTGTGATGATTAGAAACATACAAATGAAGTGTGTAAAGAGATACCGCTTAGGAATAGTGTGAACACAGGCGTCTTATTTGGCAGGTCATTATGATCAGCAGTGGGTGGGTTTCAGAAAGGCTAGGATGCACTCTGTCTGTGGTTTGTGATGCAGTGAGGAGGCCATCAGCCATCCGGCTTGCCTGGATCTGATAGGTCTCCTGGGGCATGGTTCTTTTAGCGTTGAATGGAGATGATGGTCCCTGTTTAATCTGAATGATCTGGTCACTATAGAGATAGAGGGACATGAATCCCTTGAGTCCTAATCTCAAACCATCTAAGTCAAATTGTCTCCTAGGGGCCCAAAGTTATACTGGGGTATAAGTCAAGACATAACCATTACTTTTCAGAGAATGAGAGAAGAACCATTCCCACAAAGGACCTAAAGAAACAAAGATGTGGAGGTAATCGGAGGCAGATTTGAGTGAGAAGCATGAAGGTGTATGAGAGGCTATAGGGGATTCTAGTTTCAAGTCTGTGGTACTGGGCATACTAACAAAGGCCTTAAGAGACACACTGCCGCCGTGGCAGTTTGAGTGGAAGCTCAACGACTCCATTGCCAAAGAGTTGAACAAGAAATTGGCCAACAAGTTTGTGTACAATGTGAGACTCTGCATCTGTCTGTTTGATATCACCAAGCTGGAAGATGCCTATGTATTCCCAGAGGACAGAGCACCACATACCAAAGTCTATTTCCAATACGTGTTGTTCCACCGGTTCCTGGATGAGATTCTCACCGGGAAGATCAAAGGCACAGCAGAGGCACATCTCTTTAGGGTTCTTTGATGACATTCTTATCCCCCCACCCCACCCCCTCGCCCCGAGTCACTGCAGCAGCCTGCCAAGTTTGATGAAACAGAACAGGTCTGGGTGTGGGAGTATGAGACAGAGGAAGGCGCATGTGACCTGTACATGGACACTGGCGAGGAGATCTGCTTCAGGGCAGTGGATGAGAGCTTTGTGGACACATCCCTCAGAGGACCCAGCTCAGCCGAGGCTGCCTCTGCCAGCAAGGAGTTGCCAAAGAAGGAAGCGCTCTACAGCCTTGTGGGATCTATCAGCGAGCCAGGCCTCCGAGCTTTCTCTCCTGGGGACCATCAACTAGCCCTGGACCTTAACAGTGACTGCCCAGCCTGAAGACCTTGCCCAGACCCTCGAAAGTGGAGCAGATGGCAAATTCTGAGTGCTGCCCAGAGCTAGGCTATGTGGGACCAGGAGTGCCATCCCTCCCCAGCTCTGGGTCCTCTGCCTTCTGGAGCCACCCGTGAAGTCCTCTGCACTGGATTGGTTTTGTGTTTTCTTTGACAGTCTCACGTATCCAGGCTGGCTTCTCACTTGCTGTGCAGCATAGAATAACCTCGAGTTTCCGGTCTTCCAGCCTCTATCTCTTGAGTGCTGCGATTAGTTCCGCAGCTCCACATTGACTTTATGTGGTAGTGAGGAGGGAGCCGGGACTTCGTGCCCACCAGGCAAGCGCTCTACCAACTTCCCCAGCACAAGGACTCACTTATTTCAGCAGTGCTGAGGATGGAACCCTGGGCCTCTTTCATGTCAGGCAGGTATTGCATTACTGAGCTAAGCCCATCCAACCCCTTCCTGTAAACTTCCTGTTTTCAGTGACAGAAGAAACATTTAATAAATAATGACAGCAGCAAGGGGAAAAAAAGAGCCACACTCAAGTCTGGATTTGCACAGAGGGGACGGGGAGGTGGGCTTGGAGGGGTGGGGTGGGCGGACATAGTGCAATATACTTCTCGAAACTTACATTCCATTTTTTCTCCTGCAAACTCATGTGGCCACCTCAAATAGATGAAAAGGAACAATTTGTCATTAGCCCTCATTTTGGTAATAAGTAATTACATAACTCCCATATGTCAAAGTTTTAAGACAGCTTTCCTTATACGACAGAAGTGCAAAGCAGTTTTTGTTGTCTTTCAGTTTTAAACTTGGGGGCATTCTTGAGTCTCTCTTCTCCCCCTTATCTCACCAGCAGTACACTGTGTTAATCTTTATCTTCACATTTTTTCTCCCTCCCCATTCTCCGGCTCTGTTCAAGTTGTAATTACGTGAGGTCCTTGCACCCAGAGTTTCACTCTAAAACCATCTTAGAGACAGTGCCCAATTAATCCTGCTAAACTGCATTTTTATCGTATCACCTTCCTGCCGTGGCTTCCTCTTAACACCTGGATCTGGGGCGCACTTGTCAGCGGCCCTCACCGCTTCTCCATCACAGAACTAACTGCTCCTCCCCACAACTGCTCTCACTTCTCCCACAGTTCCTCGGAAACCATTCGGGACGCCCAGACCCGTCTTGAGCTTTTACAGCTCCTGTCTCTGCGTTTCCTTCCAGATGCCCCACACATGGCACCTTTAAGGAGGAAGTCCGTCTTCCTCTTGACATTCACAGCTGCTCTCTGAGCAGAACCCAGCCTAAAGTCCCGAGTTTTTAAAATAGTATCTGCTCGAGGAATGGGTCAGCGTGACGCGGTGGTGTTCTGTACTGTTCTGCAGTTGAACACTGTCGTCCGCGGAGTCCAGTCTGTGCCAGCCATTCTGACCCTCACCACCACCCTGCAAGGTGGGTAAAGTAGAAGCGTTCATGTTTGCCTTCCAAAGGGGCTGAAAGCACTTCCCATGTCAAATGACAGAACCGGTAGCAGAATCAGAGAACTTTGGTCCCCAATTTCCTCAAAATACAGTCTATGTTTTTCGTATTTTCTATCACTTTAAGTATACTTACTGACACAAACACGTGGAAAAAAAATTAGTTCTATTATTCTGGTACTGTGAACAACCTAAATTTTTTTTCTTTGAGGCATTACATGGCAAGTCTTGGCCAGGTTGGTAAAGGGCAAGGCTGGCCCCTCTAGGTCCTTTTCTCTTGAAAGGACAGTCATACATAGTGTACCAATGTTCAGATTTTGGTCCCACGATCTAAGTGGCAAGTGCTGCTACCTTGAGGCTTAGAGACCAGCCACCCAGACAGCTGCCTGCCAAAGATTCTGTGTGAGATCATTAACTTGTGCCACCTTAAGTCATTCGAGTCTTGATTTAGTTATTTTGTTTGTTACTTAGTTTTGTGACAGGGTTTCATGTAGCCCAAGCTGACCTTGAACTTGGTATGTAGCCGAAGATGATCTCGAATTCCTGATCCTCTTGCCTCCTGAGTGCTGAGATTACAGCCCTGATGGTTTTGTTTGCTTGGTTTGTTTTAATCTCAGCATAATATAGTTTATTCTGATAGGACCAAATTGAAATGTTTAATGGACAGCACATAAACATCTCAAACCTTCAGAAACATCTTAGACAAATAAGGAATTGTTTTTCTTAACTTCCAGTTGGAGCAAACAAGGGCTGATATTCATTCAAGTCAGTTTCTCAACCCAGACTGCATGATATTTCCCAAACATTTAAGACTAAGAAAAACAACAACAACAACAACAACAACAACAACAACAACAAAGACAGGTATGGAACATGCAGACCAACAGCTAACGACTCTTTCTATAATCACAACCCTCACCTTCAGCTCTCCACCCAGTCGTCTTCTTTCTCTTCTCTGCCTAGTTTTCTTCCTTCTAAAGCACCACCTGAAGAACTGGAAGATGTGTTATCTATCATTATGTTACCAAAGTAACACCAGCTTGCATAAAGATCCAGTGGAAAAACTGGAATGCATGCAAAAGATAAGTCTGCTGGCTTCGTGCTAACTTCTCGGTCACAATATCCTGTTCCCTCTCTTTGCAAGGAAGAGGCCAGCATCAATGTTGCTATCATGAGGAGGAAGAGGAGGAGAAGGAAAAGGAAGAGGAGGAAGAGAAGGAAGGGGAAGAAGAGGGGGATGACTCACAAATATCTTCTTCTAATAACATCAGTGTTGCTGTCATGAGAAGGAGGAGAACATCAGTTCCTTTTAACAATCCAGGTTGTTAGTTTTTATTGTAATAAAGCCCAAAGAGACCGCTTTCCATCTTTTCATTCTTGACTTAACTTCGGGGATTAGTACTTTATTTCTGTAATGTCCTTTATCTACATGTATTTATATCTGTCTAGAGAGCTATACTTATCTTTACCAGTCTTAATCTCTAACCACACATAAAGCTGACTTAATATATGACTATAAATGTACATATACAGTGTACATTACTAAGCTTTTATTTGCTCATTTGTTGGGATTTTTTTTTTGAGGTAGCATGGGGGAAGGGTGGATATTGAGGTAGAGACTGTGGTTCCAGGCTAATTAGTGTGTGATAATTAGCATGGCCTACCAAGAAGATAATGATATTTCTTTGAAGCATTGTAGAACTGAATAGATTATCCAATTCATATTTTAACCTCGCAATGTCAACTATTAGGAAGGAACTGAGGGGGAGGCTGAAAAGATGTTCCTTGGGAGAATTTTTTTTTTTTTTGCTGAAATAAATGATACCAATAGGCTCACAAAAAGTTCCCTAAAACAAG